ATATATATATATATTACTTTCTAGTTTCTTCCTTCCTTGTATGTATGTCAAAGAATACCCACCTACTAAAACGTGACTAGAATCTCGAGAAAATAATTATAAATTATTTATTGTCTTTAAATAGATTTATTTAGTTGTATCCTAGATGATTAGCACCTATGCATAACATGCGTATTATTAAATAAAACAGAGAGAGAGGGAGAGAGTTTGTTTTGGGTCTACATCCAAGTGTGAATGAATCTGCTAAAGTCTAACGTGATTGATAAAGAGAGATCATTAATTCACCCCGCATTACGTATTGAAAAACATTTTCATGCAGACAAGGGAGAAAAGCCATGGGAATGGTTTATATTTTACTCTCTTTTTTGTTTCCCTTAAAAGTGCAAAAGGCTGGATTAATTGACTAAAAATAGTTTATAGGGTAATATTATTTTATATTGTCAATTCTGCAAATCATAATGTGATTTGGTAATCCTTTCCCAATGTCCAGCCTACTTTTAAAAAACCCAAGTTTCAGAATCAACGAAAAAAATGAAATGCATAAAAGAAAATGAAGACAAAAACATAAAATAGTTGGAAGTGCGTAGGAAAATGATGGAGAAATGGAAACTTGAAGCAAGTTGGTAAAAAAACTTTTAGAGACGGCTATTTTGAATTACCAAGTATAATCATCTCTTTTTCTTGTGATTTTGGCATAGAAAAAAAAAATAAAAAGAAAAGATGATTACAACAAGAAATTTATTCCAAAAAGAGTATAAGAGCAAAATCACCCCCAAAACTTGTCCGACTGTTAGGAATTGCATTATTAATTGGACGCGTCCCTACAACTTTATTGATTATTCAAACCAAAATGAGTAAAAGTCTGGCCCGAACTTGAGATTGATGCAATAAGCCAACCCAGATGGCCATATTGCCAGCAAACTACATGCACATAATGAGAAGATACAATACAAAAACCATGTCCACACTTTCCACATGTTCAAAACTGTTTTTATTTTTATTTTTATTTTCTCTTTTCAAGTTTGTTAAGTTTGATCTACATGTTTGAGTGACCAACTCGAACTTGAACCCTATGCCATGAAGTGTTGAGTATCCCTCTCAAGTTCCAAATGTCTTCCACATTCTCAGGTTGGACGTTTGCTGCTACATCCACCTGCCAAACATAAATAAATAAATAAAAGAGCTAGTAAACAAGTCTGCTAGTTTTCAAGCAACTTAAAAAACTATTTAATATATTTATATTTTATTTTCACCACAAATGTGGCAGCATATTAGAAAGTGAATCTTTTCTCATGCTACCACATATATTAATATACAGGACGATGCATATATATTATATTACAATACTAAAAAGAAGAGTGCTAGTCTTTTTTTTTTTTTTTAAGGAGAATTTGCTAGTCCAAAAGCGGACATATGAATAGTGTAGCAGGTTATAGAAAATGACCCTTATGGTTGGACTCTAGTGAGTAACCACGCACGTGTGGTGACCAGAAGGAGAGGAGATTTCAAACTTCAAACACGTGGATTGCTCTTATACAAATCATAAAATTCTGTCTTGGTACAAATGATAAATTACTATCTTGAATCCTTTTCAATTAAAAAAAATGATAAATTACTATCTTGGGGTTAGTTCAAGTAGTATTTCCCTGACAGATAGACTTATCTTATCTAAGATCTCCACGAGAAGATATTAATTTATGTCACAAACTGCAAGGAGATGCGTAGTGCACCTTCTTACCACACGATTTTATGTTCAAAGTACGTTTATATATAGGAAAATTGTCTGTATTAACTAGAATACCCCACAACAAGAATAGAATTTCTCCGAGAAATAAGTACACAACAAGACTACCTCTATAAGAAAGTACACAGCAAAACTGGGGCCGGGAAAGGTAGGACGACAATACTGAGGCTGGGAGAGATGATTCTTTGTCAAGCACTAGCTGACAAATCTTAACCACCTAAAGTGGAGAAAACTGAGGATAATAAAGGCTCTTAATTGTTTGTTGATACACATCAATAGCAGATGATTATTTGGTTTAAGGGAAAAAATAGGAGGCAATTGTCACTGACATTGACACGATACATTCAAAAGTACATTATTAGCAATCCATAAAGACAAACATCTATATATATATATATATATATATATGTAATATAAAAAAGAGGTAAAGTCTCCAATCTGGTGTCAGAGTAGAGCGGCATTTGTATATTTTTTTTTAAAACATGTATATTTTTTTTAAAATGTGTATATTTTCTCTTAAAATATGTATATATTATATATTTTACTATAAAAAAAATATATGTTTTAAAAAAAAATATACACATTTTAAAAAAAATATACATGTTTTAAAGAGGAAATGAACAAGTGCTGGAGACAATTCCTAAAAAATTATTCCAGTGTTTTCAAGTGAGTGAGGCTTTGAACATACGGACATCTCTTTCACTTGTGGATAACCACGGCCACCATTGCACAGACGAAGGAGAACTCTTATTTTACTATTTTAGCATTGAAAAATGATGCGAGCCCAGCTTGTGAAACAATTTAATTGTTGTCACTTGCCAACTTCACAATTTTTACTTTTTTCATAAGCAATAGTGTTTGTTTTGGTAAAAAAGACACCATCCCAGTTGACAGGTTCAGATCTACCGTTTCACTGTTTTAAAGGATTATGTTGTACCTACAGACTGACATTTTATATGCTACCAAAACGTCATTCGTGATGTATTGTAGGCTGTTTTATATGCTATGCATCCTACTTTTTTTTTATATATATTTCAAAGGATTATATCTCATTTTGTGCTAACTTCATTAGAATATAAAAATGCATACCAGAAAATTTTTTTAAAAAAAAAGTTTAGGAGAAAAGTGACATACTGCTTTTGCGACAATCTCGGTGCTGCGTTGGACATCAGCCGTGGCTTCAAAAAGCACCCAAGCCCATTTGTCACTGCTTTCATCATCGGCGACATATGGGATGCCAAACTTCTGGAATCTCGAGGCTTCCACCCAGGTTTTCCCACCGTCAAAAGACACATCTACCCTTTCAATACCACGACCACCTCCTGATACTGCATATCCACTAACTGTTACCTGCATCATACAATGAATGTTCGAACGGGACTGGTTAAGACACCAAATAAACCATCAAACCGTCCACATCCAGCACCTCCAGTGCAGGGTCAGCATATCAACTCTCTCATCTTCGAGTTGATCAACAAATGTATACATATAAGAGCGATACCATCGGGCATCAATGATGCTCAACACCCCACAACTTATGTAGGGTGTCCTACGTGCGTTCAACATTCATGTTAGACCCATCACATGTGAGTTGTGGTGGCGGGAACCATCAATGTTCTTTATATACTTGTGTATATAAGGACAACGACATCAGGGGAATATTTAGTGGGAAATCACACACATAAGAATAAAATAAATAACAGCGGAGATGATTGCAATGCTACAAATGCTATAAATGAGCAGAAAGTTTTACTATACAAATTGCCCCCCTTGCCAAGTTTACATAACGTCATAAGCCAATGGGGGACAATGCCAAAATAAGCTTACAATCTAACTATCATGTCCAGATAAAAATCTTATATGTATTGAAGGAAAAAAAAAAAAAAAAAAAAAAAAAAAAAAAACAAAAAAAAAAAGACCATTAAAATGAGCTTAAACTAACCTTTCCAGGCTTCACTGCATTTGCATCCTCTAAAGAACAAATTACACTCTGTCAATCAGCAAAGTCATTAATTAGGGTACTCAGAAGATCCATTAGACTAGCAGTTGTTAAACAATAAATAATTTTATATTTTTATATGTTTCCATCAAAAGTTCCTTAGATGCAGATTAAATATAACAACTTGAGCGAAGATATTCATGGCTATAAATAAATATCCAATGAAATAGTTAACTGATAATCTAACTTGCATTTTTCTTTTTTGACCAAGAAAATCTTGCATCTATGGTTTTTGCAGAAAGGAAACCAAGAAGAATTTCTAAACTTATATATGTATGATATTGAGAAAAATATACATCAACTGATCTAGCAAGTACTACCATAGGTGATACCTGCACAGGGAAATCCATTTGCGGCCTCCTGGTAGACCAATTAATGTTATCCCAATTGACAGAAGGTGGAAACATTTTGTAGTCTTTTTGCATAAAGAAACCCTGCATGGTTGAAGGTAAACTCAATCTCATTAAAATGGTGCAACGAGAAAAAAGAAATGACAGAACAAAATTTTGGGAAGGAAAAATCTACTAACCTGACACGCTTCTGCAATTAAATTTATAGAATCAAGCCACTTAACAGAGCGTGCACCAATAACACCGGGGACAACAACACGCAACGGATATCCATGATCCCTATTAAGAGGCTTTGGCATGATAAAAACAGCAAACAAATAAGAGAACAATGTGCTAATAGATGATATTCCGAAATCCTAACTGAAATAGAGGATGCTAGTAATTTAGTGCAGTAAAAAAAATTTAAATCCAAACTAAAATTAAAATTCCAGAGATAAGTTTAGCCCCTTAAAGTGAGGTACAAATGTCAGTCAGATCACATTTATCATTTAGAGACTTTAGCTAATCGAATTTGTTTGATTAGAAATTCTCACAAAAGCTTGAGCTTGAAGCGCATTGTGTGCATGTGTGTGTTAACGAGTATATGTGTCTTCTAAATACATAATCGAGAAGTTCAAATCCATCTTAAATCTTAGTAACTCTAAAACAGGACAAGCATGAATTTTTCTTTCAAGTTGCGCATGTTCAGTTACCTCTCCATTCATCTCGTAAGCAAGCAGTACATCTGCTTCAGGGCTTGTAGCCTGAATTAGTGGAATAGATGCCTTATAAGGTCCTCCATTTTCCTCCTATATTTGATGACAATTATAGAAAACATAGTAAGAATCCATCCTTCAAACATTGAAAGAACACATAAGAAGAATCAGAATGGTACTTAAGGCCAAATTTGTACCTTACACTTATCAACACTAATAAATTCCACATGTTTTCCTCCCGATTTACTGGAACTTGACAACTTAGGTATTCCCACAAGTTCAAGAACGTCAGCCAATTTGGCACCACCCCAGACAGCTGGTAGCAGATTTAAGAATGATAAAAGTTAACATTTATTTGCTAAAAGATCTTCTTGCACTAGCTTTTGTTTGTTATAAGATGAATTTAAAACCCTATTAACGAATTATTAATATGCTTAAATTCACACTATAAAGACGCAGAAAGCACAAATACTCAATAGTAAATCACTAAATCTTTGACCAGCAAAAAAAAATCACTAAATCTTTGATCAACTAGGAAATGTGTATTGGCATTCCCATAACCAAAACAATATTTCATGCAACATCTCCTCGTTCTATGAGGTTTGAATCTCGTGGCACAAATTTATAAAATAATAGAAACTCTAGAAGACAAAATCAAAACAAATGGTTGATAGAAATTCCAGCCAAAAATAGTTGGTTAGAAAGGCATAGGTAAAGTTCCATCACAACAGATCTCTCTTTTAATGAAACTTTCCTTTTCCATGGATCAAAGAAGTATAAGACATCAAGTAGTATTCAGGTACTAATATTACCCATTTTGCAGCATTGGCATGCACCCGACTCATTCAAAAGCCTTAAATTTGGTTCTCCACACCCACTATAATGAAAATACTCACAGAACATAATAGAAAGATGTCAATGCATTATTGGTCGAGTGACATACCATTTCCGATAGCAGAGACATCCCAACCAACTCCCCTCACTTTTCTGGCTTTGCTCATAGCTGTTCTTCTATTACCTGCGCACTGTGTAACCAAACAAACCCCAATTCAGCCACTCAATAATTGTATTCGGGAAAAGGAACAGAAGAAATGATCTCAACACACCATAACTAAGGCAATACTCAAAGTGCATAAGAACAAACCTGCAATGTGGCGGTGACTTCATACTTGGGAAGCATCCTGATATAAGATAAAATAAAGTCAAATTCTTTATTTCTTTATTCAGGTAACATTTGCCTAGTTCATTTCACAACTCAAGTTTTATTGCTGCAGTATTTTCTCTTACAAAAATTCAAATTTAATTTTTTTGCTACAATACTTTTCTCTCACATACACAACTCAAGTCATAACTCAAGTTATAACTTGAGTTGTGAAATGAACATGAGTAATTTACAAGAAAGTAAATATCAACAACTTTCATCGATTATTTCCGTGGTATTGTCGGAAAAATAGATACTTGATACAGATTCGTAGGGAAACAGACATATTTCTATGGAATGTTGACATTTTACTGACGTAATCTACATGGACATTGATATTGCTTAATGATAATTCTATAATTCAAGCCCTCAAGATTTCTATCAATACTGATATTTTCATCCTTGGTAATTTACAATAAAGCATAAAGAAAGAACAGATTTGTAAACTCTAACCTGATATCCTTCACGGACAGCTTTTTGGGCTTCTCAACCAAACCAGATATCAACACAGAATAACTGCTCGTCAAAAACTCAAAAGCGTTTCCAAAATCAGGTATAATCGATCAATCATCAAACAATTTGAAAAAAGAAAAAAAATAGGTGAAAAAGATAAAACCTTTCAATGTCATCAACCATAGGAATTGGACCGTGATTTCTCTTGTAGAACAAATCCACGGGAGTCACATACGACCGGAACAAAGCCGAACGCGGTGGCTCTGCATTAAACGGTTCCTGTACCCCAAACAAAAACTATTTAAAAAAAAAAAAAACACTTATTTTGCACATCAAAAACTCTTTCTTTTCGTTCAAATTGACAGTTTATTTCACTCTCATTCCATAAGCTATATATATATATATATATATATATATATATATCATCACCGGCGACGATCATCGTAAAAAAAAAAACAAAAAAAAGTTATAACAATAACAGAAAAAGGATTTCATCTATTCTGGTAATCTCCGAAGAACAAAGAAAATTCAAATCAGAAAAAGAAAGGGAAGGGGAAAAGGGTGACCTTGGAATTGATATAGAGGGAAGGATGTCGAGGTGGTTCTTTGGAGTAATCGGAGGGACCTCTCACGCCCGGCATTCTGATTTCTAGAACCTTCCTCTCTTCGATCGCCGACCACACTTCTCTCTATCTCTGTAAGCTTCCTTCCTGTATGCGACACACACACACACACAGAGTGTAAGGAAGTTAAAATGAGGAAAACGAAATAAAACAGAAAATGGAGAATCAATAAAAACAGCCAACCAAAATTCGAGGGAAAGAAAAACAAAACAAAACAAAACAACCTAAATTCAATCCGAACTTAGCAGTCCAGTCCTTGATTATCACAAACTGATAAATGTCTAGGTTCAAGAGGGCGGTCGAAACTATGGGCTATTACCCTGCCGCCCGTTTTTCCTACTTTTTTAATTTGTTTTTAATTTTTAATGTGGTGCACAAAAACATATCTAATTATTTCTTTTTCTTTGTTTTTTCCACAAACTGACAGAGTAAAGAAAGAGGGAGTTATTTTCACTAGCCCACTCATTTCTTGGAATTTTACGCTGCCCACTATAAGCTGTCCTAACATTGTTGGAGTGGATTTCTCAACGTCAAGTCGTCAACTTTTGCTCTAAAAAGCTTTTCGTGGTTCTCGTATGCTCTCAATTTTAGGGACGCAATTAGCAGGAGAGTAAAATTTGAAAAATATGGAAGTAAGCGTTTTATTTATGAGTAAGTTGATTAATCAACTTAAATCTTGCAAACAAGTGCGTTCCCAGGTAGTAAAACTTGGGTTAGACGTGAATTAGCATGTTTTTTTTTTTTTTTTTTTTTTGTGTAATACCGCTCTGAATTATTTTTTCTATGTAAGGAAACTAACGCATAAAAATATAATATATAAGAGAAGTGATCATATTTATTGATCAAGATACCATTTTTTGCATCTAATTGCAAGTAAAGCCTTAAAATATTAAAATAAACAAGATGTTACTCCACCCCATCATGGACGTTGGACAATGGACCTCCTCAAGTGTCCTAATATGAGTCCTAAAGCCATTTTCAAAGTTATAATATAATAAGACTCCATTCATTACACCTATTCGAGTTTTGTTACAGTAAAAAACTCTCAGAAACAGTCACATTTAATTTTTTTATTACAATAAAAAATTCTCACATAAAATTACATATAAACTTGAATTAAAAACTCAAATCAGCGAACTAAACAGACCCTTACTAATTCAAGTAAGACGTCTTCTCAAGTGGCCACATTATTGCAGATCTTCTGAAGAATCCAGATTTCCAATCCAGATTATATGCATTATGTGCTCAGCTTCACTATTTCCACTGGTGGACAGAATTGTTCGTCTAGTGATGTGATAGTGTCAGCACCAGATAGCGATGGGGTCTTTTCCTCGAAGCGGCATTATAGAAAGGAGGCTTGAGAAAGCTATGGTCATTTACTTGGGAAGCTGGGATAAGGGAGAGCTAGTTAACCTTGTGATTCAAAGCCAAACAGCAGAGTTCAATTCCAGCCCAATATGCTCGACAGTGATTGACAATATTCTACTCATAAGCGTGCCAAAATCGAGCACAATACAATGGTATGTTATTCCATCATTTCAGACTGGATTTTGCTAAAATATTTGGTGTTAGTTTCGGTTCACTCAGATCAAAATATTGGCTTGGAAATGCAGAAAAAATATTGCTGAACAGAGGGTTTGTGTTAGGAACCTAATATTTAGAAGTCTTTTTCAATAGTCTTCATAGTGGTACAAGTAGGGGGTTTAGTTGCTAGAGAGGGAGAGGAGGAGAGTTGTAAAGAGTGTCTAGTGTTGTGCACTATCTTAGAGGTCGGGGTCCTTGAAACTGCCCATCCATCATGTAATTTTCCATTTTTCGTGTTGTTAATGAAGTTCAGATTTCCAGATTCCTAACAGTTTGAATATGGTCCAGAATTTATCAACAACTCTACAGAAGGAATCTTGATTGATCCAGCTCCAAGCCCTGTTCAATCCCCAGTTCTGGAATGGTCTGTGTTAGGAACTGTGAAGTATATAGACTCCAACCACTTCTTTGTTCTGCAAGGCAATGCTACAATCAAAATCATCTCTGGGGTCTCAGCCGGCATACAAATGGCAGCAAGGCTCGCAGCGGGCTCAAATTATAGCTTGGAATCATGTTGGGAGATGCTAACAACTCGTGTGTGGAAGACTTCATAGTAGAGGCTCAAGCAGGATCAACAGTTCAGAATTTTATTCACCCGAGCCTTGGCACAGGGTCAGCCTAGAAATTCTCTTATTGACTTTCAAGGCAGATTCAAGTGTAATTCCAATCAGATTCAAGTGGTTGATGATGTAGTTTTGTGGGCTTCCCATGGAGCTAAATCATACATGCAATGGAAGTTTCTGGTTTCTCTGTATTTGATCGCCATTCTATTCTAATAATACTGGCATCAGATTACTCCTTGGGGGAGTTGAATTTGAATGTTTGATAATACAATGGCCTTTTTATTGAAACAGATTTTAAAGCATTTATGAGCTCCTTTCTTCAAGTAAACGCAAATAGTATCGCAGATAACAAACAAAGCATATAAATAGAGTGGCACCTATTATTGACTGGTTTACGTGGACAAAACATCCTGAGAGAAAACCATGGGCATATATATTATTGTCATTTCATTCACACTTTTTCCTCCAAAACTTTGATCCACGCAAACTTTGTCATGAAGAATGCCATATGCCAAAATAAATTGCACAAAGCACCTTTTTTTTTAATCTAAAGAATTAGATTAATATATTTGTATCTGTCAATCAACACTACTGCAACAATATAATTCTATCAGAACCGTATAAATTTGTGTTTTTTTAGTCTTAAAAGACTATACATATCCTAACATCTATATGTGCAAAAGACTGACATGGTATGACCATTATATATCATTCGGCAGAATCTGGTAGAAGAATCGGGATTAGACAGCAGCTATAAATTTGTAGCAATTCCCCTATTTTACTTTTGATGCTCTCTGTGGTTGGAATCATTTGACACTGAAACAGAAAAGGAAACTTATTATTCAAAATGATAAGTGAAATATGAATACAGAAATACTCTTTTTATCTTTGGTGCTCTCTTTGATCGGAATAAGCACTCTCTCTAAACTAATTTCTTTCTCTGAAAATAGAAACTAAAGAAGTATTGGCAAAGGTGAATAGCTGTGAGAGGCACATAATTGTCAACAAAGAGGAAAGGAAATAGTTTTAAAAAGTTACCATGTCCACTCTTCAAGAAGCTTTAGTGTTTTTTTTACTCTATCTCCGTTCTCCTATGAAATATTTACAGCGCTAGCCTGTATTGCACGGTTGAGGAGATTTCTGTACTCTTGACTCCTAGACCATTCATCAATCTCGCGAGCACGTAGAACAGGCAAAGGGTGTGAAAGTTGCCTTGTTTGAGCATTCCTGAACAGCACGAATTAATCAAATCAGACCGGGAATATAAGATGGTAATGACCAAAAACCCTTTGGCATGCAAATATTGTTAGTTACCTTATATACCAGCCAACCGGGCTTGATGAAGCTTTGTCATAAGAACGAGCTTGGTCCAGAAACGCATCTACATTTAATTGGTCGGCCATAGACGGACAGCCCCCAGCTAATTTCATCAGCACAGAGATGACCACCTCTTGTAGGAGCATTACAATGAATTATCAGAAAATATGAAAAAAAAAGACCATACTACAACTAGGTAATAATAAAACATGCCGTTTACAGTGATTGTATGCATACGGCATACCTTAGGGTCTTGGGCAACAAGAAGAGCTGCACGATCACAAGTTAGCTCTGCTGCTCGAACCCAACGGAATAACTGCTCTTCTAAACTCTGAGCAATCAACCCACCAAGCCCTGCTAACAAAGTCTTGTGTATTCTTAAAAGGAACCATTGCATTCAAAAACTGTCATAGACGAAACAACATAGAGCTAGTACTAGAGACATTTTGAGTGACACTTAATAACAACTTCTCAGGCCAAGCATCAAAGCAGCCGCATCATCTGGATTGTGTTAGGAACCCGGAAATCTGAACTTCATTAACAACACTAAAAATGGAAAATTACAGGATAGATGGGCGGTTTTGAGGACCCCCGACCTCCAAGATAGTGCACAGCACTAGACACTCTCTACAAATCTCCTCCTCTACCTCTCTAGCAACTAAACCTCCTATTTATACTACTATTAAGACTATTGAAAAAGACTTCTAAATATTAGGTTCCTAACAGATTGAAACTAGACATGTCAACATATTTCTCTCAAAGGTATAATCACGTCATTTAGTTCACCTTGCAACCTATCGATCTAGAGGCATTAGCAAACACTTAAGTTGCGGGGCTCCATATCCCTCCAAGTTCAAGGTCAACTGTTCCAATAATGAATAAACATAACAAAAACTAGGGAACCTAGGAATACACCTACCTGGCACAGTATAAGCTCCAAGGGTGAGAATATTTGCAAAAGTAAGCCACACACCATGGTCGCACTTCAGATGTCCCAACTCATGTGCCAAAACAGCCTGTTTCAAATATGGATAGCAGAAAGTTAATAGCAGGCACCATTTTGAAAAGGAAGTGAAGTGATAATTTGTAACTGAGTGATGAGATAATAAATTAAAAATATGATTCTAACAGATGAATTAATTACCTGCAACTCCTTTCTTGTCAAAAGCTCCACAAGGCTAGTATGAACTACAACAAATGGCTTTTTACCACCTATGGCTAGAGTGTATGCATTTGGTACGGGACTTTGACGAACATACAAATCTGGAGGCTCGATATTCAATATCTGAGCAGCTTCAACCATTAACTGATTTAGTTCAGGTAGCTGGTACGAGAAAAATAACACAAAAGAATAGTGTAAGCTGAGACTGCAATGATATAGAATAATAAGAATATGAACATTTCCGTGATGAGAATAACTACTGAAGAACATATTCTTCCCATAGAATTTACACACACACACACAACATATTCTTCCTTACAATCAAATAACCTGATTCCTGGAAACAAGTACTGATGTTCCTATGTTCTCCAAAAGCATGACTTGTTCTGTAACAGATCCTGTGAAAAGTATAATAGAATATGTCAGCATGGACATCAAAAGAATTTAGTCAATTAAACAACCAAGCACCTGCAAGTTAAACTACAACTTTTTTTCTTTTCTTTTCTTTTTTTTTTTTTGCTGAAAAATTTGCACTTAGATTATTAATCCACAAAGCATGTTTAGATATACTTTTGCGTGGAATTCATATAATATGGACTTCAACAGTTACGTTGCTACCCATTACATATAGAAATTGGATAATGTAACGTGATAATAATCTAATATCATTAAAAACTATATTTTTTTTAGCAACTACCCGATCTATTACATAGATGATATTGAAATTATTGCACTACCTAATAAAGCCTTTCCAAGTTCGTTTAACCCCGGAATCGCCCTTAAAATCAGCGTGTTCTGCGTTAAAAATAAGCAAAATGTTATTTAAAAAAAAAAACTATGTATCAGGTAACACACAAAGAAAAAAAGGAATGCTTTTTTCCTCCCTTCAAGCTTATTTCTATCTACAATTAGAGATGAGAAAAAAAAAAAAAAAAAAAGAAATCTTTCTTTCTTCTTCTTTCTCACTTTCTATCTATACTAGTTTTTAATGCGCTCATAGGCGTGCGTGATTCATTTAAATTTGCAGTTATACAAATTGTTTTAACTTCTTTTGTTGTGTTGGTACAAAACGCGTTAAAACACATTAAAGTAAAGTGACATGAAGCCTATTTGATCTGGCCCGAGAAGTTCACAGATGCCACATATGTGGTGAAATTTTAATTATGAAAATTTAACTTATTTTGTTGTGTTTTAAATTAGATTTATTTTGTTTTGTTTGCTATCATTTTTACTTAATTCAGTGTGGTTTTATTTTATTTTAGCGTATATTTGTATAATTTTAATTTTATTCAAATTATTTATAGTATTTTTATCTGAGTAGCATTAATATCAATGCAAATCGATATTAAAATGGACAAAATTGAAAAGTAAATCAGTTCAAAATAAATAAATATAATAAATAATAATAAAAATAAATTTTTGTATTTTTTAGGCCGTATGATCATAAGGATAAACGGCCAAGAATGGCATGTGCATCTCACACGTGGGCAGAGACACGTTCAGTAGAGAAAGGGAGACAAGTCGTGTCAAAAAAATAAATAATAATGAAAATATAAGAACGAGAAAAAAATAAAAAGAGAGAGAGAGAAAAGGGGATTTTAAAAAACATAAATAATGTTGTGTATCAAAGAATTTATTTTAATAAAAAAATTGGAGATAATATATTTATGATGATCACAATTGAAGAAAGCAAAAACAAAACAAAACAAAAAAAGGAAGAATGTGTAATAAGATAAGAGTGAGGGAAAAAAAGAGTCCTTTGTGGGTCATTGATCTTTTAAGATAATAAAAATGTTATTCATTCTCATATAAATAAAATTCAGTCACTAATAAAGTGACAATTTAATTAGACTCGCTTTATATAAGTAGTGAGAAAGGGAGACAAATCATGTCAAAAAAGAATAAATAATAACAAACAAAATAAGAACGAGAAAAAATGGAAAGAATGAGAGAAAAGAGGATTTTAAAAAACATAAACAAAACTTGTATGAAAAGAATTTATTTTAACAGAGAAATAGAGATAATATATTTATAATGATCACAATTGAAGAAAGTAAAAATAAAATAAAAAAGAGTCATTTTGTGGGTCAAAAATCTTTTAAGATATAAAAATGTTATTTTTACATGGATAAAATTCATTCACTAACAAACTGATAATTTAACTGGACCCATTTTATATAAGTTGGGATTTTATCGTATGAAGATAAATACGAGTACTTTTAAAATAATGGTTAATTTTAAATTTAATTGTTAAAAAATAGTGAGTTTTAGACGAGAGAAAAAGAAAAAATTGCAAAGGAGAAGAAGTTGACAAAAGAAAAGGAAAAAAAAATTGATGGACGCAAAGAAAGGAAGGAAAAGAAAAAACTAATTAAAGACATATTTTATTGGTTAATTTAAATTTTTAATTTAAGTTAAAATATAATTTTATATGAAAATTTTTTATTATAAAAAAATTAAATATAATTATATTTAAAAAAATTTTATTATATTAAAATTTAAATTGATGGTATGAACAGACCTAAACGTTTCTTTCGGGAAGCTAAGACTCATTCTCCCTTAGTAATGATAGATATCTGTATGTATAAAAGATGTGAGTTAGCAAAACCTGTTTATCAAGAGGGTGGCGAAAATCATCGGCGTCGAGATCGCGAAATACGACAGAGGCAGCTCTGCAAACGACGCCTTTGGTCCTCCGATTTTTCCATTTGATGGTCCAGAATCCGATCGGAGAAGAAGGAAGCCTGGTTTTAGAGGAAGCGGAGAAGCTAAAACTGAGAGTATTGGAGTTCAAAGGGCTTAAGAACGAAGGAAGAGAAACGGACGCCATTGAAGGAGAAGAACGAGAAAGGAAATATTTGATTGGTTGCGATAAAAGGAGAGATATTTGTTAAGGTCGTTGGTTGGTTTGGTTTTTGATTTTCGTCGTGTTTTTTGTGTGTTTTCGTATTGTCGTTTGTATCCACAACCGTACTTATGGTGGCCATTTAGCGCCATTTCGTTTTCAGTTGACGGCTGACTTGCATTTCTTGTGTGTGACGATGATAATAAATAATAGATAAATAATAAAATAATAAAAATCTGGAAAATCTAAAATGTATCCTTCTTTTTATTTTCATTTTTTTATTTTTCGCGCGAAGGAATTGAGATGTCGTTTACTCGCAAAAGGCGGTTGTTTACTAAAAAAGAAAACAAAAAGAAAAAAGAAAAAAGAAAGAGGGTGTTTATTTGGAAATAGTAAACATGATGTTTTTTGTGAAGGATTAGATTACATGTCGTTTCTGGAGGTGGACAAAAAAGTCCTTCCCGATGAAATAACGAGTTTCAATTTTCATTTCATATAAACCATATGTATTTCTTTTAATGGAAATTAATATAAAAAATAAAATAAAATAAACGAATGCCTTTCATGGAAAATAATTGTCCTTGAAGAAATTTACCGATTTCGTATGGAGTTATAAACCGTGTCCCTCCTTCCTATGAGACAAACGACATGGCATTTGTTAAATAAAACGAATGTCGTTGAAACCCAGGAAAATAAAACTAAAATGAAGCTCAGAACCCAATGATATGTTTGTTTGCATGTAGTGCTGAAACTTTGGACCGGCCGCCTGCAACCGCCCAAAAAGTCCAGGATTTGCCCGAGCCCGAACCCGACCCGCCCGAGATTTTCGGGCCGCCCGCCCGAGCCCGAATTTCACCTTGAACGGGCCGTGGGCTTGTATTCGGCAGCCCGAGCCCGCCCGAATTGTCCAAATTTTTTAAACTTTTTTTTTTAATATTAAGTTATTTATATATATATATATTAGTATTACAATTTATATATATATTATATTTATATATATATTAAATTTGAAATGAACACACGAACTATATAAAAAAATTATTTCTTTATTAATTTTTAAATTTGTAATTCATGATTGCCTCATTAAAAACCTTACCAAGAAAAACCCAATTGGGATAAAAACTTGGCAAGGAAAAAAGAGTGCAATCATTTTGTGACGAATTACAAATTGTACAAACTTACATTGTTTATTAAATTACAAATACAATGTAAAAAGTAAATACATATTTACAAATTACAAATTTACAATTTAATTTGAAGCTAAGGGATCATCTTCAAAATTAAATGTTAATCGATTAAATTCATCGATCCATTCTTGGCTTACCGGTGAAATTGTATCTTGTAGACGTTGATCGGCCCGATCCCAATCCTTAATGCAAACCAAGGCTTCAACAATATCCCTTTGCAATGCATTCCGGCGTTCCTCAAGTATTCTTCCTGTCGTACTGAAAGCTTGTTCGGATGAAATAGTGGAGACTGGGATCGAAAATATATCCATTGCCAATCGAGTTAGGATTGGCCAAGTTAATACCCGTGCCTTCCACCATTGAACTAAGTCAAACGATTCTGCCGCACTGCCGACTACTAAGCCTTCACTGAGGTACGCCATAAGCTCGTTGAAGCTGCTGCCGCCACTGCCACTTGTTGATGAAGATCCACTTCCACTCACAACTTCCGTTTGAGTTGTCTTCTTCTTCTTCTTCTTTAACCCGAAAACATTCAAGAATGAATGCGGGTTTTCATCCTGTTGTTGCGGTTCATGTACTCTAGAGTTTGTGCTTCTAAACATAATCTCATATTTACTATAGATCTCATATATTTTTGCCTTTATTATTGAAAATTGGTCCGTACAAGTGATGCCTAAAAATTCACCTAAGTTTTCTAAACCACTTTCTAATCCGTCTAATTTTAATCTAGGATCAAAAATTGTACCTAAACCATATAACAAAGGCAACTTAGACCAATATTTTTTAAATTTTTTTTCCATAGACTGAACAGGAACTCCTAAGATTGGGTCCTCCCTATATACGTGAAATAAAATACTAATTCTTAAAAGTTCTCCTAAAGCTAAAGGTGATGTTGGGTAGTATGTTTCACTAAGTTTTAGAGTAACTTCATGAAACCTACCTAAAAATTGATACAAAACTTCAGCAATTTGCCAATCAAATTCATCTATATGTCATACTCCTAATTTTACACACATATAGTTTGTTATAGCATTCTTATAAGGGATGCATTGTTGAAGCATAATATAAGTTGAGTTCCATCTTATAGACATATCTAACGCTAATGCTCTAGGAGGTAATTGCATGTGGCTTATTTCACAAAACGACATTTTTATCTATCATGACAAAATAAACGACATGTCTTAGTGTCCCATATATATTTCATATTTGTCAGTGTTGGTTTTAGTTAGGGAAAAAACGACATTTCGTTTTCTCAAAAATATTTACTTTTTCTTAAACGACACGTCGTTCATAAACGTATTATGCTTCTTCTTCCTAGGTCTCTGCTCTTTATACTTCTGAGATGAATCCTCAATTGGACGAAAACCAGGGTCTTCTTCAGCTTCAACTTCACCACAGTAATCAGCATTCATAAATAAAAATACAAAATACGCCATGTAAGTTCTCAAAAAGCCCTCGCTAACAGATTTTTCTCATCAGCTTTGTTTGTTTCAAGAGAAAAAAAAAACAATTCTTTTCTTTAAAAATGCATATCTCTCCTGGGGAATTTTTATTTTATACAATATAGCTATGGAATCTTAAAGATTTCGTAAAAATGTCCATCTTTTGAAGGAGGAAATCGGTGAATCGTCCTCCAACACCGGATGTTGTGGAAAATCCTGAAAAAGAGCCCGCGCTTCAAGAACTCGTCAATATAAAGGTTTTTTTTTTTTTTGGTTCTTTTTTCAATTTTGTCAATCAATTCGATTATTTTTTTTTAGGAAAAAAAATGTCCTGTTTTTTATTGTATTGAAGTCAGACTTGTGGGCTTTCGTACAGTTGATAGAAAGTGGCGAAAAGGAGCGATTAATGGAGCTTCTAAGGGAAAGGCTCATAGAGTGTGGTTGGAAAGATGAAATGAAAGCTCTTTGCAGGTCCTTTCATGATCTTTTTCGTTTTTTGTTTTTTTTCCTCTCTTTTTCATTATCTTTTTTAAGCCTCCATAGTTGTCACTAATTGTGGTTCAACTTTTTGTTTAATTGGATTCATTAGATGAGGATTACGATGCAATGGTTTCCTTTCCTTTGTTTTTTTGTTTTTTTTTTCTTTTGATTAAATAGTGACAATTAGAAAAACCAACCTGATGTCAAGAAACTTGTACATAAGACTAGTGTTTTGGACAACTCTAATCTCCAATTTTGTGTCAACTTACGTGGCATTGGGTTGTCATCTTTTTATTAGTAAATGTAGTATCTTATTGTTAATTACGGTGATAATCTTTTGAATACCTACTTATGAAAGAATGACAATTCACATGCTAGGTTAGTTGGTTTTTCTAGCATTATGATAAAGTGACTTGTCTTTGAATTCCAAAAATTTTGTCTGATATTTTGATCCAAGTTATTGTAAGTTTGAGATAGAAATTGGATTGTTGAAAATTCCTTTATTTTTTTCAATGTTAATTTTGTGCATTGCCTCTCTTCGCATTGAATATTTTGCAAGTAAAATGAACAAATGTTTTGTTTTATCATTTTACTACGAGTATATTATGATTAATCTAACTCTTTTCTTCTAACTGTAGGCAATTTGTAAAGAAAAAAGGGAGCAATAATGTTACTGTGGATGACCTTATACATGTGATTACTCCTAGGGGCAGAGGTAAGACTGATGACTTTCTTTTTAAGTTCTACATGGATAATGTCTTGTGTAAGTACACTTTTTACGTACATTTATTACCTATTGTTATTTCTGCCAATGTTTGCCTAAATAAAGGGAAAACAATTAGCAATTGAATATCTTATTGCATTATACTCAAATGGTAACCTAAGAACTTTAGAAGGTCGTTACAACTTACAAATCAAAATTTCCATAGTGGTCTGGTGCCCTCTATAACTAAACATGTTACTTTGTTTAGGAAATGAATAATAAAATGGATTCATTATCCTATAGTCAAATTAGCTTCAGTACTGGATTTTCTTCTCTCCCTCTTCTGTTTCATGCATTCTGCTGCCAGTTCATTTATAATTATGCAACAGATTGCAACATTTATCATTTTCAGTACTAACCGATCTCATGCTGAGTGTTGTTCTTATATTGGCAGTGTTGAAGAATTATCACGTCAATTAATATTAAAAGAGTTGCATCTACTAATAAAAAAAAATGACAATACACCTGCTGTGCGAATTGGTATCAACGAGTTGGTAAAATAATCAGTAACATTTACTTGTGTAGTTTCCATGCATACTCCAGTCTCTAACTGTTAGTTTACTAATTTCTCTTATTAAGCTGTTAATACGTGTGCCATCGATAATTTTACTCCAACACTAACAAGTTAGTGTCTTATCATTGCCTATATACAGCATCCATTCCGGACTCCATAAAAGCCGAGCTTTTGCAAAGAATCCGTACATTTCTCGTTTCAGCAGCTCCCTGATACAAAATCAAGGTTTGGTTTGTGGGTAATGGAGATGGGAATTTCGGGAATGTCACAAAGCACTGAATGGATCCCCCATTGTAAACGTGTCTTACATTGCTTTGTCTGTCTGGTGAGTGCAGCTGTTATTTGGAGGGAATTATCACCGAGACATGCTTGAGAAAATGTTTCATGAAATAGAATCATTTACGTTTGTGAAAATTGACTCATGAATTATATTTAACTCGTGTAATTTTATAATGTCATGAAGAAAGAAAGATTTTAACTAATTCTTTCTAGTAACTTTGTACTTGTCTCATATGTTGATGTCAAATGGTTATTTTATGCAGACCGTCTTTGAAGAAAACAAGTCTTTTTTTTTTAATTACATTCGTTGGTGTGGCAAGCGAGAAAGTTGTACCTGTATTTATTACTCACTAATTCAAAATTGAGAGTCAAACTAATGCGGCAAAATTTAGAGGACGTTTGGTACTTAAATTCATTCCCTGATTTGAATCATGGTTCGTGATTCGTTATAGTATTTTTTTTCATAAAAAATACACATAAATTGAAAATAGTTTTAATCACATAGTTCTAATCCATGAACTAAACGTTAGTTTCAGAAAATTTGGGGTGTAGCCGGAAAAAAATGGGTAATCAATTATTAATTTAGATATTTACTTTCCTTTTTTAACTTTAATTGATTTTTTGCAATCAATTATTGTTTATTTTGTTCTGATTTTTTTTTTTCACGTGTTATAATTTTCCCTCTTCTTTCATTTTTGAAATCATTCGTTTATGTGTGTTCTCTTTTCCAAGTTCTTTGTTGGGGACTGCTGATTTCCTCTGTACGTTATCTTCCTGATCGACGCCGATCATTTCTTCGTTCACGCTCGTCACTTTTGCAAAGGTTTATTTATCTTTTTAGCTTTCTCAGATTTTTCCTTACGTTATTTTTCATTTGGCAGAGTTTTTAATGTCTTTTTAGTGTAATGGAGGCGGATGTATTTTGTCTTATTATGTATTTTGATATGGAATTACGGTAGAGACGGATGTATTTTGTCTCATTATGTATTCTGACGTGAAATTACGGTTAAATTATATCTTTAATCTCAATAATATTTGTTTCCACAAATCATACGCATACAATTTTTTTTTCTAAGTCACAAATGACATGTCCTATGCATTTTTTACACTTTTTATCCTAATGAAATTAGTTTTTTTTTTAAAAAAAAAGGAAATAAAAAGACAATCGTCTCATTAGCGAAGAAATAGGGAAAGTAAAAGAAAGTGATCACGGTGAAATCATAGTTACTATATTATTCGCTGAAAAAATAAAAGATTTCAATTGGTCATATTGATCGTGAGAGACTCATTGGAGAAAGTTAATTAATGTGCCATTATGAATAAAAGAATCAAATCAATCACTGTGATTTTGTTTCCCTAATTGTAAGAAATTAAGATTGACTTCCACGCAAGAAGAATTGATATAATTATAAATGTATGATCCCCTTCAATATATATATATATATATATATATTAGGTATAAGCAGCGTATAATCGGAAGCCGTACTCATTACTGGTAAAGAAGAGGACGTCTAAGGAATTTAGGTTTTTTCCTTTCTTTTCTTCCATTAACAATATAAATTTTCTTCTTCACTGCCTTTGCTTTCCTTCACCGTCTAATTCATCTTTTAACTGTGATTCCTCTCCCTAATTTTTGTTTTCTTTATTAAGTGGCTAATCATACTATATTATATTTCTCTTCCTAATACATGTCATGTATTAATTCCTTAATTTCGCCATCAATATATATATATTAATTTCTCAGTATATTGCAACTTACTGCTGATTAAATGTATAGTACTGCCTGCTTTCATTTCAATGACGTACGTCTTGTCTTCTTTTTTTTTTAAACCGTATAATTTCTCTTTCTAGTTTCTGTGTTTCTAGCTATATATTTATCTCTTTAATTAATAGTTTTCGTTTTCAATCGGAATATTTGAATTTATTACTCTGTTAAAGTTGGTCTTTTTTTTTTCCCTGGGGTTATCTTAGTGGATGCACCCAAGACTCAAAAAGAATCCATTGTTTACTATCATGCATGCGTATAGATTTACACTTATGTCTGCATATATACTTAAATTGGCCTTTTTCTTTTCAATATATACCGATCATGAGAAATCATCTTCTGATATATTCATATAAACATATATACATACATATATATGTGTGTGTGTGTATGTATGTATGTTTGTTTATATGACAAGTCTGAATGTGTGTGTGTATACACGATGTGTTTGCATGTGCCTACACAAATATATATTATTTTCTAACAAGTCAGCTCTGAACAGATAAAAAAAACAATACTTGTACCATTTCATCGATCAAGAAATCATCATGGGGCGTGGAACACTGCCACTGAGACTAATACCAAAAGAGAGGGCTCGAAGGATAACCTTTGCAAAGAGAAAGAAGGGCCTTCTCAAGAAGGCTTACGAGCTCAGCACTCTCTGCGACGTCAAAGTCTGCGTGATCATCTACGACACTACAAACCAACTCTCTGATGATCATCATTATCATCATCAGCATGATCATCGTCATGATTATCATCATCAACAGGCCGTTTATGAGCCCATTCACACCTGGCCAGAGCAGCCTCATGAAGTGGAGAGCATAATCGCAAAGTACTTGGCTTACAAAGCTAAAAACCCCGTCTCCAAAAAGGACCTAGACATCGCCGACTTCTTCAAAGAAAAGATCAAGAAAATCCAGCACGATACGAAGAAGCTCGCCGAGGAGAACAAGATCAAGAAGATCATGATGCTCAAATCTGGTAGTACTGATCATCATCAAGATCATCATGATTATGATCAATTTGACTTGTTATGGGACAACCGGATTGATGGATTCTCGTTGACTCAGCTCCTCGACCTCATGACTCACTTGGACAACAGAATCAGTGACGCCAACAACCACTGGACGGATCGTTACAATAGTAATATGATGATCATGTGCATGACACCCCACGACAAGTACTACTATGATATTGATCATCATGGTCATCACAGTAATTACCAATTTGGTAGTACTAGCATGTCACCGATGATGGGTAACTCCTACCAAACGTCATCTGAATATCGTGATAACTATAACAATAATCATGAGCTTGTGTTGTTTCCTCAATATGATCATTATTATGATCCACAGTACTATTGGCCACATGACCAACCTGCTAGCTCTTCCAAAACGGTGCCGTTTGATCATCATAGCTCATTCACGTCCATGATGCTGAACGGTCATGATCCAACTGATTATAATGAAGATATTGATTGTCAGTACTACAGTAATCTTCTGAATATTGGAACTAAGATGTTCAATAACAATAATACTAGTGTTGGTGCTGTTACTAATGCGATGAATACTGATCATGATCATGTGGTGCTTCATCATCAAAACGGGGTGTTCTTGAACAACCATGCTGATGTGGCAATGCAGCCTTACGGCATGCCGCTTTTCGGAGGCACAGCGGCTGATGGATCGGGATATTCTCCGGCAGGGAATCAATTCCGTGCTAGTAGTTCTCAGCAAGATGTGAAGTTCTGCGACAACCAGCTGCATGGGTTTGGAAGAGTTTAGTCTGACCATGAGTTATATATATAGTTAGTTAATTATGGTATGGGAGAGTAATTAACTTGACTTATAAATTGGGATGGTTTATTGTCTTGTTTATATTTTCTTTGTTTTAATCGTTCTTTAATTTGGTTTGTCGGATGCTACGGTTTAATTAGTTTGGTTAATTTGCAGTTTACATGGACTATTTGAATTTCCCAAGTTTTATCTTCTTCATAGGTATTATTATTATCATTTATGCTATGCACATGGTGAAGGAATTAGGAAAGTGCATGGAGCATCAAAAGCGTTGGCCTTTTTTTTTTTCTGTTTTTGCATGTGATGGTTCAATTACAGCTCATACGCTCTCCATCTCCACCTTGCATTAATTTCTGGTTGGAATAAGAATCTCTTTTGGTTTTAGGTAAAGCTTTCATTTGATTATCTAATATGCACATGTTTTTGCCCTACATAGGCCATTTCCATACTCGGAGGATCTTCATTCCGTTTCAAATTTCTCTCCTCCGTTTCAACAAAACTAACTTCCAAGCCTGAATTATGCACTCCCTTGTCAGGATATTAGGTGACACGCACGTTTCAAAATAACACCAACAATGAAATATACGTTTTAGTTTTTATCACGCTAGTTAGTTTTATGTCCCCTTCATTTACGTGAAAATAAAATTTTTAGATTTCTCAAACAAATGAACTTATCCAAACTACATTTGCAAAATAAGAAGGGCCACAAATAAAGTCTGGCCTAACAAACGGAGAAAAACTGTTTTATAGAAGCACATATTTATGCGCTTCTCTTTCAACCAGATTGACATAAACGGCATAAAATTATAGATAACCATATTCCAGGACTTGGTTTACAAACACGATCAGAGGGTCACAAAGCCATTATATCATCTCTCTTTTACATATTGATGAGATAGTCTGTTGTTTCACAGCTATAATGATATACTCTCAAATGTTACAACAAACTTACAAAGACTCGGCAAAGAGGTAATTATTCACGAGGCTCATCACTCATTAAACCTACTCAAGAAAAAAGACTTGCTCTAACCAGACTTCACCCCTTCAAGCTTGCGCTGTTTGGAAAATCTGCTATAAAAGCACACAACTGGCATTTGTTTTACCACAAAACCTACAAAGTTGGCAAGTTTTTTTGCCAAACGTTTTTTCATCGCTTATGCTGCAGACCCAGCTTGCTCACATAGGTCCAATAGATCCAACGTCTGCAGAATCATCAAAAGTTAACAACATATTCACATACAAGCACAGCAGAACATTAAAAAATAATAATAATAATAATAATAATAAATAAATAAATAACACACCACACAGATAAGACAGAATTGATCTATATCAAGATCAAATACCTCCGGAACTGAGAGCTCAAGGCGAAACTTGGGACCATCATAGTGATGTAAGACTGGCCGAAATGCATCCTCTTCCAAAGCCTTGCAGAGTTTTCTAATACGGATCCTTACCTATTATTTGATGGAAGGGATCACTCAGACAGGTACTCCTAAATAAAACAATTCGACTAGTTTTAGCAATTTCTCAAAGCTAATTCTACCTGAGCGGGAAACCTCGATTCGCCTTTGCACTTCTTATCTTCCCAGGCAGTTGGGTCAATGTTTGAGCCACCAAAACTTGCAGCCTGTAGAAAAAAAGAATTAAAATTAACAAACCAGCTAGTCAGAGAGAATAGAAGTTGAAAGAATAATTTGCAGAAGAAAAAAAAGGACAAAATCAGCACGAATGATATTATCTCATGACCAACAATGACAGATCTAATTGCCAAACGCTTGTGAGCATGTATATTTAAGAAGCAATAAGGAAAAAGTTGCACACAATGAGTTAAGTCTTCTAATAGAAAGGGAAATTTCCTTCCCAAACATGACAGGAAGCTAATAACAACATCAAATCTTAGCAAGCTTCTCTTTGCAAGTAATATTATCGCAAATTGGATGCATATAAAGTATCATCCTATGAAAACAAATAGTTTGAGAACGAACCTCGAAAATACCATGCAACTGGTGAGTAGTATAGTTGTAGAGAAACAGAGGTAAACCCGGCGTTATTGCCCGAACTGAATCCCTATATCTGGGAGGCAAACCTATAAAAGTTGATACAAGTAATTGATTACTTTGCAGCTTCTTCAAAATTATTGAACGAAACCAACTAATGTAGTTAGAGACATAAACTAGCATCTCCATTGATTGAGCTGTAGCCTGTAGGTAAAGTCATCCTTCACATCCAAACTTTTGGTGTTCGACCCAATGAAAATTCATTCCTAGGCATGATTTTTAACATTCTTAGATTGGATATGAAATGTTTAAAAACGCTTTCATGCACTGGCTTAAACACACAAACCACTTCAGACAACTAATGTGTTCTTCTTAATATCCAAAGATGAACAAAGGAATCTAGAAAATAATAAAGAATTAAAGTACCGAACAACTGTCGCTTCAAATCTTCCTGCATTGTATCATTGTTGCACACGAAGATGTAACCTCCAAGCACCTCATTCCGTGGGAGTGTCTCTGTTGCTGGCAAGGTCTTGAACCTTTTATCGATCGCACTGTTCGCGTTGCCATTTTCGTTGTTGTTACTGTTGCTGTTGTTGTTGAACTCCTTGTTGCTCACGTTATTGCCGCTATACTTGTTACCTGTCATATTCCCCAAAATGTTTGTGTTGCTCTTCTGGTACATGGCGTTCATATTATACATGCCGTTTCTGAAGGACGCTTTGTTCACATTTTCGGTTAATTTCGAGTCCAAGTTAAGCATGTTAAAGTTAAGGATTTCACATTTGTTATCTTCCTGATACCCAAACTTGTCCATTGGCCTTGGCTCGGCTGGACCTTTTGAAAGGTCGAGGTTATTCATGCGCTCGCCCTTAATCCTTGTCTGTTCAGCTAATTTAGAAGCCGCCATCAACCACTGGTGATCCTCCGATGCTTTCGATTGCACGCGAAGCTGATCACCAAGTTGCCAAAAGCTGTTCATGCTCTCCATCTTGTGAAAACCTACAGACCTTGACAGAAAGGCCAGAGTTGTTATTAAAGATGTGATTAGGAGAGAAATGGAGATTAGTGTCATAAATTAGGAGAGGACCAACACCAGCTTGGTTTCTCTAAGAAGACAACTTTAGACAATAAATCAATTGCAAATCGATTTTAAAACTCTACCATGTACTATCCAAAATTTATCCAACAGCCATTTATAGTTTTCAATGTTTTCATTTTTGCGTGAAAAACAATATATGCTTTAATATATTATCTGAGACGACATTGTTCCCTTTTAATTCGCCTACATCTGCCTCTTGGAATACCCTTCTGTATATTTATAAAATGCTTTATACTAAAACATATATATATATAATTATATATATATATATATAGAGAGAGAGAGAGAGAGAGAGAAGGAAATACTTGAAATTTTGGAACTCTTTAACAGCGTTTTATCGTTTCAAAGTTTTCATCTGTTCTGTCTGTCAAAAAAAAGGGAAAAAGAAAATATCGATATAATATCCGTACAGCATTTTTCATTTTTAGTCCCACATCGGCCTCTTACAAATATTTTTAAAATACTTGAAATTGGGAAAAAAAAAATCAAATATATAGAAAAAATTAATACTTTCTCCAAAATTTTCCCCTTTACACTCTGATTCCCAGGCCGGTATTTTTCTCCACCATGCAGCGATGCAAAGAAATGAAAAACTCAATAATGCATTTCAGAATTTATTTTCTTTTCCTCCATTTTCCCACCAACCAAATAGATAAAAATGAGAAAAAAAAAATTTACGAAAAAAATAGCAGGACTACAAAGTCAACGAAATTATCAATTTTTCCCCCTTAAAAAAAATCACACAGACAATCTACCAAAATTTGCGTATTTAAAACAATATTCCAAATCTGAGCCTCGAAATGAAGAAATCAGCTGAAATCAGAATTTCTTTTCTTTTCCTCCATTTTCCCACCAACCAAATAGATAAAAATGAGAAAAAAAAAATTACGAAAAAAATAGCAGGACTACAAAGTCAACGAAATTATCAATTTTTCCCCCTTAAAAAAATCACACAGACAATCTACCAAAATTTGCGTATTTAAAACAATATTCCAAATCTGAGCCTCGAAATGAAGAAATCAGCTGAAAAAATCCTCAACTCATCAAATACACCAACTAAACTGAAGATCCAAAGCATGCATTTTCCAGAAACTAAAGACACCAACAGGAAGAGATGAACTACATTAACATCGTCAAGAGAGAACAAAAAAAAAAATCTCAAAACAAGCTGAGTGATTACAAAATAGACGACAAACAAAGTGAAAGAAGAGCTTCAGTTGCAGACTCGGAGACGAAATTGAAGGGCCTATATTTTCGTAGATTTAGAAGGATACCTAGATTTGGGGATCAGAGAGAGAGAGAGAGAGGAGAGAGAGAGAGTACCTTTATCTGCTGCTTGGCTGTGAAACCCGGAGGACACGACAGGGAGGAGAAAAAGTAGCTGGATTTTCATGTTTATTTATAGACCGACATGTCCAAAATACCCTTGTAGATTTTATTATTTACTTTGTCTTGCCAATTTTGAAGTTTCGATTTTTTTTTTTTTTTTTTTTTTCGTGTGTGTTCGGCGTCGCGACAGACAGTGTAGCATTAAGACAGTTGGCACGACTTAAAACAAAACAAAATCATATTTGTCTTAAAGCTAAGCTGCCAACTTGAATAATAATAATATCTTTGTGTAATAATCACGATACATATTTTTTGTATCCAAGGCGTGTGTGTTCGGCGTCGCGACAGACAGTGTAGCATTAAGACAGTTGGCACGACTTAAAACAAAACAAAATCATATTTGTCTTAAAGCTAAGCTGCCAACTTGAATAATAATAATATCTTTGTGTAATAATCACGATACATATTTTTTGTATCCAACTTCGGTGCCACTTTGTGCACACGAAGATACAATTTTTTTTTAAAAATAAATAAAATTTGAAACTTTCGCTATTTGTTTTGGTTTAATATTCGGTTTTAAAAGTTAAATCAAAACTTTTTCTTTATTCAAAGAAGGAAAAAAAAAAAGTAACAACTCACACTAGTGAATAGTAGGTTTGCCCTTTGGATGTTGTCGGTGGTGTGGATAACATCTTCAATGTTTTTATTGCTAAAAAGAAAAAATAATAATAATAATAACTCAATTGTGTACTTCCTAGCTAGAAAAGCATGCCATCCATCAAAAAAAAAAAAAAACTGTTTATCAATTGCCTAACCTCGTGGTTATCCAAATTTTATTAAAATCGTGTGACCAATGCACATGATGGCCATAATTCAAGTTTAGCCACAAGTTAATTGGATATAAAAATAACTTTTATGAGGTCATAATTTTTACAGAGCATTAAGTTTCGAGTTATAAAAAGAAAAACGAAAAATTGACTCACAACTAAGTGGGTTGATTTAACGATAATTAGCGTGCGTTTGGAATAGAAATTCGTGTCATAATTTGAATTATGGTTCTTGACTCGTTACAGTGTTTTTTTTTCACAAAAAATACACATAAAATAATAATAGTTCTGAATTCATAACCAAACGTCCATTTAATTATTATAGTGGATATATAGTTAAAAGTTTGAGCATAGAGTGGTCTTTTTTAAGGGCCTATAATTTGAAGATTTGTTCTTGTTAGCCTAGTAGTAATTTAAAGTGTTTGTGACTATGCTTCATGTACTCTTATTATTAGTACATTCTATGGCTATAATAAGATATTAAACAAACAATTCTATCAGCATATTAGGAGCCTCTTTGATGACAATTAAGGAGTACATATTAATGTTTGCCGTTCTTCTTTCCTTATTTTTCTTTAAAAGAAAAAAAAGAAATCATGAACTCCTTTATCATGTTGAGTTAAATTTAATGTTTTAATGTTACATTTTTAGGAATTCCAAAATAATAGTTGCCAATGCTCTCAAACTTTCATTTCGACATAGATTCGATCAGAATTCAACACAAATATTGCCTTTACATAAAATTAAAATAATTGCGTGAAAACATATTTATCAAAATAAACTCAAAAATTTTGTCTAATTTTGTAACATGAAGTCAGCTAAAAGACTTATAGGAGATAAATTTTTAAACAACTTAATTTAAAGGGATGTTTTAGGACCCGTTTAGTTCACTGATTCGAGTTTTTAATTTGAATTGAGATGTGACTTTATGTGAGAGCTTTTTACTGTAGCAAAAAATTTAGATGTGACGGTTTCTGATAGCTTTTTACTGTAACAAAATTCAAATTTTAAAATCGAATCAGTAAAATGAACGATGCCTTAGTAACCCTTCAAGTATAGGATGAAATACTAAAATTTATTTGGGACATTCTCTACGTCAACATACTGGTAGGTCAAATTTTATGTTCGTCAGATATACATAAAATTACGCAAAAGTCAAAAAATACGCATATCTAATAGTTAAAAAAATTTAGCTCATCAATACACCATGCGTACTAGAGAATCTCCCAATTTATTTAACCACGAGGAGTGAGAATTTTCACTTAATTGCATAATTTTAGTCATTTATGACCCATTTGATTCATTCACGGGGGGAGAATTTTTACATAATTGTATAATTTTAGTCATTTAGGACTCATTTGATTTATTGACTTGAACTCATAATTTTGATTCTACTATTTCATAAAAAAATTTGAATAAAAAAAGGCTCCCAAGTTCTCTTACGAAATTTAAATTCAGGATGAAAATTACTGCTTAAACCCAATCAAATGGACCATTAGTGCTTGTTTGGTTTGAGGGTTTAAATCAAGTGTTTGAACTAGAATTTAAATTTTATAAGTGAAAATACTGTAATAAAATTTTTAAAATTTATAAGTATGTTTACTTTACAATTCAAATTATGTGTATGTAAGAGAAAAATATTATAATAACAAATTTATATTTATATTTATATAAAAAATATAGGGAAATAGTAGAAAATATGCCAAATATGATAAGCTTAAGAAAGTATATAGGTCAATTTTTAGTTATAAAACTTAATATGCATAACTTGTCAAGTTATGGTTCATAACCAGATAAGTTATGGATAAACTTATCAAGTTATGGTTTATAGTAAGACAAGTTATGGATAATTATGGACAATAACTTGTCAAGTTATGGTTTATAATCAGATAAATTATGGACGAAAATAGTAATTTATCATATTTATTAACTTATATAAATTATTAACTTATTAATTTTAATTCATCTTAAATCTGACTTATTTTTTTCTTTCTCTCAAAAATATATTATAATAATAAAACTTGAAATTTGAAAAGAACATCACTCATTTTTCGTGAAAAAAAAAACTTTGTTTAAACTGAAACATAGTAGTCAGTGGAAGTTGTGAAAGTTGACCGGAAATAATATATATATGTATATATATATATATATATTCATTGTGGAAGTTGTGTGAGAGCTATTGAGGTCTAGAAGAGACGTTGTGCTTGACATGTTAATATTCAACTGTTTAAAGTGGAACCAAAACTTTCGGTCAAACAGACTATATCTGTAAAGTTGAATTTGCCGTAACAGATGAATCCAATGGCAAAAAGAGACAGTAATAAATGGCTAGACGATGGAGTGGGGACTAGAGTTCAGACGGTTCAAGAGAATGTTTAATTTATGAATTTATAATTATAATTTAAAATAATTTTTATTTTATGTATATTTTTTATGAGAAAAAATATTATAGTAGGTTATGAATTATGATTTGAATTATAATATAGATTAGTACTTTAAATGTAATTTTGCAGTCATTTTTTGTGGGACTTTTATTTTATTTTATTTTATTTTTATTTATTTAAATATTTATTTACTAAAATCTCTCTATTGGTAAGATCAATAGATGAACGTGTAGGATCTTATTAAAATCCTATTTAACTAAAAAATATATAAAATAAATAATTTTTAATATAACATCACTTTTTTAACAATTTATTTTTTAGTACCTATGAACAAAATTATGTATTTATTTTTATATATTTTATAAGATATTTTTTTATAGAAGGATTTAATAATATGAATAGATTTGGACCAAATCTAACAGTAAATTTTTATATAAATCTAACAACTAAAAAATAAAAAAAAACTACCATAATTCATAAGTCCTATGAAAGAACCTCTCATATTTTATTCGGTAATATGGTTGCACTTGGAGCGTCTTTTTTAGCTCTGGCGTCATACTAAACAGGTGATAGATTTTATTGCTGTCGGCCAAGACACCCTTTGTTCAGTCCAAATCTGTGTAACGTCATACATTATGCCCATTTCCTATCATTGAACTTTGTCTTTGTCTTTGTCTTATAGCCGTTTGAATTTTGAATCATCAATATCCCTCCCATAAGGTTTTGTTCGATTTGTAACTCTTTTTTTTTTTTTTTAATACAGATTTGTAACTCTTTTAAAACCACTAATTATGGGATTATAGGCAGCCATTTCCCTTCAGTTATCACGACAAATTTTCTTTCTTTTCAGTTCAAAATAAAAATAGTCCATTTCAACATATGCTTATTTGTAACTAACCATATGAAAATCAAATCACAAGTCTTTCAAGTAAAAATTCCTTTCGTTTGAGTAAAAAAAAAAAAAAAAAAATTTATCTTTTGCTTTTATGGTTTTACCTAGGCAAGCCTATAATTACCATCGGACCCAATATCTTCAAAATAAAGTAATTTCTCAATCAGTGATGTCATTCAAAGGACTATTGCTTTATATTTGTTTATCGGAAGTAGAAAATTTCTTTACGTTATGACTTGTGGGTTAAATTCTCTCGTTCATTATGATTGAAGAAATTTTAGTTGGAAAAACAAATGAATAGGAAAATGAAGAAGTTTTTTTGTAGGACAAAAAACAATTACTCTACTGATAATGCTTAATTACAAAATAGTATCATACGAAGGTAAATGATTGTGCAATATTATTGTAATGTTTCTCTTTGGTAAAATCGTGACAATAAAATACATCGTTAATCAAAATGCATGCAACTCTTTGACCGATGGTAGCTCCAACATTTTATACATTTTCCCTGAGGTAAGAAAGACGAATTAATCAACTACTTAGTAAGAAAACGAGGTATTTTCTCGATCTAAAGGCTCCTTTTTAGTGTTTTATTTTTGAAGCACAAATTGGATAATTCACCTTCACAAAAAGAAAAGGATAATTCCTTATTGATTTATAGAATAAGATATAATCTAAAGGTCGTGTTTGAAATTGATCATGTTTTTGTTTTTTACGTTTTTTAAGAAAGAAAAAATGAAAACGTTTTTAAAACGGCGTTTGGCGCAATAAAAACAAAAAATAAAAATAAAAATGTTTTTTTTGTTTAGTTTAAAATGAGATTTGTTTTCGTTTTCTCCTCTCTCGAGCAGAGAGAAAGAGACAAATACATTAATGAGTTTTTTATACTGAAAATAATCTCTTGATAAAATTACCAAACGCGTTTTTAA